TTCTAAATTCCATTCTTTTAAATCTGTTGATATATCTTAACTGTTTGTGAATTGTGTTTGTTTTGATGTATTTTTATTTTAGTTACAAAAGCTGTTTTTCAAAACATTTAAATTAGAATCTGTGTTAAAAGTGATTATTGATCATAGACTTTGTCTAAAAAGAAAGAGGGAATTAGGATTTGCTGTAAAAGTATTATATTATTGAGTTGAACTCTACCCAATTCACATAGCAAGCGGTGACTTTTTTTGTTTTGACTATGCACCTGACCTTGCTCCTGCTGCTGATGCGCACAGCACAGAGAGCTCTGAAATGTGCTCCAATTCATATTGACTTAATTTGAAAAGGCTGCAATTATTTTAAATTAGTAGAATATATGCTGAGATAAATGTTCAAGTGTAAAAGGGAAATTCCATAAAGTGATTAATCCAGTTTAGTTAATCTTTGGATTTCGCACTGCTAAAACCAGAGAATACCTGCGGCCTGTCTCCAGACTGATACCTCTTCCGGAAGTCCCTGATGACGATTGAAAATAGCATATTTGCTGCACAAATATGGGGGCGGCTGTCACAAACTCCAGTAAATAACAGACAATGTAGCAATTCCGCAGGTGTCCACAAGATGGAGGCACCTGGGAGCAGGAGGACACACCCAAACTCTAGAGAGGCTATAAGTAGGCCTTCCTGTTTGTAGTCCATTGTTTTCCCCATTTTATGTTGACCATGCGTCTTTTGTTTCTGTTACAAATAACCATGGCAACTACAAATAAATGTGGGGTATAACAAGCTACAACTGTTTCCTGGTGGTCTGTGTCTCCAGTTCGAACATTTATACACAACAGATTTCATGTTTTCAAGTTTTGTTTTAATGTTTTCCAAATTAATTTTAATTTTTATACAGATTTTTCACAATTTCATTTCATTTCATGGCATCTTTCAAGAAACCCAAGGACGCATAGATAATTAAACACACAGTAAAAATGTACATAATACATATTTTAAAGTTTGAAGGTTTTTTGAGATTTGAGTCTTGTTTTTTATTAAGAGAGTTTCTGGTCTTAAAAATGTCATCATTAGTAAGATAATAAGTAATCTGTATTTATATAGCACATGTTGGAAAGCCAAGAGCGCTCCAAAATTGTTTAGACTTTAGATAGAAAAACAATCTCACATACTGATCTGTTGTTTTTTAAATTGGCCGTCTCAAGGATTGTTTTTCAGACTCTGCCACACTGTACAAGGGTCACTGCTGGACTGGACACTGAGGGATCAGAACAGTGGCCCAGAGTAGACACCATCCAACTAGCCGCAGATCGTAAAGGCGACATAGCTACCTCCGTGTGCCCCTCCCCCCACTACAGACCGATGGTCGTAAGTGGCAGTGAGACCGGGGCCACGAAAGTGGGGTTTTCTGTAGGCAGTGGTGGGTGAGTTGTTTTGCAATCTGAAAGTGTGCCCACTTTGCTGGTTTACATCACCACAGTGTGACCTTTGAGACCTACAGGTGGTTCAAGGAGTCTGGAGACACAACCCCAAAATTCACACCCTACATACATACACACAATCATACACTCACACATTCACATTTACACATAGATACATGAAAAAGCAGAACATGAGAAAAAAGCATTTTAAAAGTTTACTCCAATGTAAACAAATATTTGTAATCGTCTATCACTTGAGTCTTTATTTGAATCAGTATTTTTGAGACCAGAAATGTTCATTTGATTTCTATATTGTCATGGACTTAATTGGCCTGTCTTGACATTTTTTGTTTTGATTTGTTGATTTTGTACGGTGTGAAGTAATTACATTGATCAGGATTAGATCTGATAAAAACACAAATTAGAGAAGTAAACTGAATCATTGCGCTTGCTTTTGTCTAAGGGACATTAGCAACAGCATGAATAGATATTGTGTTACAGTAGAATCAAAATGACTTAACCATAGAGAGTAACTACTGCATAACGAGTCTGTACAGGAACTGTGACACTGCACCACCATTGACCAGAAGTGCATCGCAAATGACCTGATGACCTGATGTCAAGTGAAAAGACTGTATCTGGAGATCCGATGTCCATCTGGAGAGACAAAACCATGGCTTGGGACCCTACTGATGTCCAAGATGACATCTCTTGAAATATGACCTGACCTGATGACGACTGAGACTCACCCTCAGAGGACCTGAGGATCTGAGAGAGAAAAACCGGGAAGTGTTTATATTTTTGAAATCATACCATTGATGAGTGCTAAATGAGAGATACTCATGATTCTTCTTTTGTTTTTGTTTGTCCCTAGCTTCTGGACATCTGATGATCTATTGGACACAGCCATTTGCAGAACAAGAACCAGCCAATGAAAAATCGTCTATTGCCGATGCTATTGCACCAACCAGAACCACAACTCTTGACCAAATGCAATACATGTAAAGTATTCAGACATCTGACTGACAAAAACGTTGACTTTTTAGTCTGGGAGACTGAGCAACTGTTAAAATGTGTTAAAATGATAAAGTATGGGTATTGTAGCGTTTTAGTAGATGTAAATAGTAGTAAAAAAGTTTAATTTGATTTCCTTTCATAAACACATTTCCACGTAAGAGTTAAAATCTATACTATACCTATCTATACTATACAATGTTATCCTTCTGATAGAGTAGCTAAAATTTTAGAATCAAAATAATGTTAGAGATATTAAAAGTGACAGAAGTCACAAACTAGAAATATGCCTTGGCTCAAGCTGCAACCGAGCTTTGGAGTCACATTAGAAAAATAGAAATAGATAAAAGCATCAACCATAAAATATAGAATATTTCTAGCCAGTGCTATTATCAAACGGTAAAAGGAGCATTTCCTTCAAAATGTGTTCACAAACTTTTACTTCAAAAGTAAATAAAGTTAATTACAGTTTATGCACAGTTTTATTAGATACTGCCAAATTCACTTGTGTTCAAACACCTGTGAATGTTGACAATACAAAAGTTCATGAGTGTAGCTTAGATTAATGAGCTAGATTACAACCAACAGAGATTCAAAAGCATTTAAACGCATTTTGATGTATTTGTGTGTAGCACAAAAACAGTATAGTAGATATCTTTGAGAAGTTTAAAAAGCTGTCAATTCATCAGCACAGATTTGAGAATCAAACACCATTGTAGAATAACTGACCCCAACCCCAAACCTGCTAAAACAGATTAGCTCTTGTAAGGATAATACTAATTTGATTAATGATGTACAATCATCCCAAACTGCCTGAGAGGAGGAAGTGACATCACTTCCTGGTTCAACAAATGTATTTGGAAAACTGACCGCCATAATAATGAACATATTAACCATTTGTCTTACTGTGTTCACAGTTTTATTACTAAGAATGTAGAATAGACATAGAGCAAAATCCCACTGGCACAAAGCCACTGATAATGAAAGTAAACCACAGTATAGAGAGATTTATTAGATTAAAATATATGTTTAAGAATATGGCTCCATAAAAGCAAATATGCAAACATATTTGTAAATAGATTAGAATAGTTTTAAACTATAGTGAATCATAAAAGTAAAGTACACAGTCTAAGATTAAAAAATGAAAATAATAAAGTGAATTAAGTGAAGTGCATGTAAACAATTAGCATTAGAATAAAAGTATAAAGTAAGAAAAGTGAAATTAGCTTGTAATTTGAGACTCAGCTCGTTTTTGTCTGTGTTTTGACTGAATCTGCTGAGTTCTTGTGTGTCCAATAGTTTTTGTTTTTGTTTACATTTTTTTTGTTTTTTGTTTATTTGTTTTTCCCAGGATAGAGGATAAAATCCACTGATATTGATTTGATGATTATGAGTTTAATGCATACATTTTCTTTGTTTTTTAATAATTTTTTTAAAGTTTTTTTAGTTTCTTTATTGATTGATGAAATTCAGTGATCACATGTGATTATGTGATCAAAGGGGTGAGTGTTAGTATTAGATAGCAATATGGCCTACGTGCAGGACTCTACAAGGACTCTGATTATTTTGACTATGATGTGACTGTCTCTGTGTGACACGTACGTCTTTCGATGTGTGACGTGACAATGACTATATAAACTGTGTACTGACTCCATTCTGTCTGAGAGAAAGAAACAATGGAAACCACTGGAACTTGAGAGAAACTTGAATAAACTTCCAGAGTTTGGCGCACCACGATCCGTCTCTGTCTGCTTCATTCCTGACAGAGAGATAGGTTTTGGTTTGTTTACAGAGGAGAGCGAGCGTAACTTTAGAGAGGCACGTAACTTTGGCAGCTCAAGAGATAAGGAGGCAAACGGTTTTCTTACCGCATTTATTTTATTAAGAGACAACTCAGCAAAGTAATTTTGTGTACAAGAGTGTGGAATAAACGTTTGTTAATTTTTACATGGAGTCCCGTGGGAGTTTTTCTCTTTTTTAAAGTAACGCGAGTAAGCCATGGGCAACAATTGGAACCTGCAGAGTACACTTGACCTTTAACAAAGTACATGGACAAGTTTGTGTAAGTTCTCATCTGTACTTTAGTAAAACTAAACTACATGGACCCCGAACCACTTCTGTTGAACTACTGCTGTTAAACTACTGCTGTTCTGCTGTTGAACTACTGCTGTTAAACTACTGCTGTTCTGCCGTTGAACTACTGCTGTTAAACTACTGCTGCTGAATTACTGCTGTTAAACTACTGCTGTTAAACTGCTGATGTTGAACTAGTGCTGTTTAACTACTGCTGTTAAACTACTGCTGTTGAACTACTGCTGTCACCCTGTGCTGCCTAGCAACACCCAGTGCTGTCCTTTCAAAACAAAAGCACTGATCATTGTAGGGTGAGAAAAGTCGATATCACACATAACTTAAGTTATTTATTTGATATCGGAGATTTGGATAAAAAACAATCATGTAGTAAATACAATAATTGATAATAGCTTCATTTGGGGCACCCTAGAGTCGCTGCTGTTGGACTCTCCACCTAAAAACATACAACTACAAATAGCCCACTAAACTGTTTTAGTCTCGTCCGGAATTTGTGAGGTGGGTTTCAGGCTGAGAGTCCTTCCTCTTTGTGTCTTGCTGATGCGTTTGCTCTGTCTGGATCTTCCACTGTACGGCAGACATCCCAAAACAAACACATCTGTAGCAGAACAGAAGCTGTTGGACTCTCCTCCTAAAACACAACCACAAACACCTGAATAAACTCACAGTTTAGTCTGCTGCCTGCACTTTCTGAACACTGACACTAGACTAGTCCTCCAGGTCTCCCATCACTGCCCTGCCCCTCTGCACCTGAACCAGGTCTCAGACCTGTTTCCTTGCACTGGAACCAGGTCTGAGACCTGTTCCCCTGCACTGGAACCAGGTCTGAGACCTGTTCCCCTGCACTGGAACCAGGTCTGAGACCTGAAACTCCAACGTATTTCTTAAGACTCAAACATCTTCATTAAAGCTGCGACTTTCTCTCCTCGTTTTGCTGAAGTCCTGTTCAGGTCTGAGCCCTGCGCCTGTTTCTCCTCCTCAGTTTTATTTTCTGGACCAAAGTATTGTGTCAGATTCTTTACGTTTCCGTTGAGCCCTCTGAGCTCCTCACATTCATGTTGAGAGTTTTTAGGTATGAGTCGCTCTCTACTTGACTGCTGCCCAAAAACATTTATGGTTTTACTTACACAACTTTGTTGTAGTTTGTCAGAAGGTTGTGACTACACCTTCTCTTCTAAGTTTCTGATTCACTGACTTGCTCTGCTACTACCACCGGAGAGCTCTTCTTGGCATATTCCAGATCTTTCTCTAAACGTTTACACAAACTGACCAACCGAGAGTACTCCCCCTTCACGTCTTCAAAGTCCTCTAGTTCTTGTTTGAGCCTTTCTATCATCTCTTTCTCTGAACTTTTGTCAACCGCCACCTGTTTTAAACTCTCCTTTTCCAACATTAGGTCTGTGGGGAGTTGGTTTGAGTTGATGCATCTTTTGGCGTCTTCCAGATCCTTTTCTAAACGTTTACAATAACTGACCAACTGAGAGTACTTCTTCAAATTCCTCTAGTTCACTTTTGAGCCTCTTTATCCTCTCCCTCATCTCTCTCTCTGAACTTTTGTCGACTGCCACCTGCTGTGAACTCTCCTTCTGCAGCACTAGCTCTTGGCGGAGTTGGTTGATGCATCTGTTTGCGTCTTCTAGATCCCTCTCTAAACGTTTAAACAAACTGACCAACCGAGAGTACTCCCCCTAGTCTTCAAAGTCCTCTTGTTCACGTTTGAGCCTCTCTATTATCTCTCTCTCTGAACTTTTGTTGATTGCCTTCTGATTTAAACTCTCCTTCTCCAACAGTTGCTCTTGGGAGAGTTGGTTTGAGTTGATGCATCTTCTGGCCTCTTCCAGATCTTTTTCTAAACTTTTAAAAACAACTGAACAACCTAGAGTACTCCTCCTTCACCTCTTCAAAGTCCTCTCGCTCCCCTGTCAGCGCCTCTATCTTCCAGTTTTGGATTTCCCTCTCACTATCCTGCTGGGCTTTCTGGTGTGAGAGAAGCAGGTCCTGACATACAAACTCACTCTGCAGCAGCTTGTCCTTGGTTTGCTCTAGATCTGTTTGTAGACTTTGGCAATATGTGACCAGGCCACAGAAGTCCTGCTTCAGGGCTTCAAACTCGTCCGGTTTCTGCTCCAGCAAATCTATGATGGTTTCTTTTGCTTTCCCTCTCACTAATCTGTCGCTCTAGACTTTGGCAAACTCTTTCTTTCTCCTCCAACCTGTGCTGAAGTTTCTTTTGCTCTAACTTATTCTGAAGTCTCTGGAGCTCCTCACACTTATGCTGTATGTCTTTCTCTTGTGAGAGCTGCAGATCTCGCAGACGTCTGTACGCCTCCATCTGCTCACTCTGACTCTGCTGATACTTCTCTGTGACTTGTTGCAGCTCCAGTTCCAGGCGTTGGTTTATTTGGACCAAACAAGAGTTCTGTTCCGTCACGTTTTCAAACTCCTTCAGTTGATCCTGAAACGCCTCACGTCTCTCTCCGAGGACTTCAAGCTCACTGATTGGCTGATCCAGACTTCTGCACGCAGCCTTGCCCTCTGCATGCAAGTTTTCAGCTTGAATCTGAGCAGAAACATCCTCTTGATCCACAGTTTGCAGCTGAATGTAACCACCGCTGTGGGTAGCCTCATGTTGAGGGAGTTGCCGAAGCCCTGGTGGGTGTCCCCAGTGGAACAGGTCCTCCTCAAACTCATGCAGCTGACTGAACAGGTTTGAGACCAGTTGGTCCAGAGAGACTGTGTCACTGGGGGCATTATCCCCCTGTTCAAAGAGGCAAATATTCTCCATTTTAAAGACTAAATAAAGACCAATCTAATCTAATATTATCTGTCTAAAGACGTCTGTGTCTCATTGGTTCTAAAGTCTTCTAGTTCTAAAGACCAAGAGGATTCCCTAAACCTGCCTCAAGTCTGAGCCGGCGTCTCCACCCTCAGAGACAAATATCTCAAAGCTTTGGAACTTTTAGATGTCATCGCTGGCAATGTCTTACAAAGGAAACCATGGCAACCACAATGTCGTAATATAATATAGAAACATATATAATAATACAAATTGCACTGAAAGTCAACCCACTGAGTTAAAAGTCAAAGTAAAAAGATGAGTCTTAAGAAGTGAGTTAAAAACTTAAAAGCTCAGACAAATCGTCGTTCACCCAAAAGACAAGACACAACCGGAAAAACAGGAAGAGCTTTCAGCACCAGAAGAAAAGAATATCAAAAAGAATGCAAAAAAAGAAACGGCAGTGCGACTAACAAGATGGCAACACAGGAAACCTCAAATCGGCAATATCAGACCACTGCAACAGAGAAAATCACATCATGGACTGGGACGATGCAAAAATAGTAGGAACAGAAGAACATAAATACAAAAGATGGATACGAGAGGCGATTGAAATTAGGAAGCGGGGAGCACGGACCATCAACAGAGACGAGGGAAACCAAAGACCACAACGTGGTGAGGGGCGTGGTCAGTCTGATGGATCTGTGAGATCCGTCAGACTGACCGCATCCGGCAACAACAGCTGATAAGAGTCACAAAACATTACATGTCACGTCTGATGAAGGCGGAAGTGTACCGGCGAAACATGTGGGAATTAAGCAGTACTAGCTTTCTTTACTTTCTTATCTTATTAAAAGAACCGTCAAAGCCTTACATATGTGTTATGTGATTGTTAGACACATATGTGTCATGTGACTGTTATAGACGCATATATGTGTCATGTGACTGTTACAGACATGTATGAGTCTGTCATGTATTATTCACAGTGTGTTGAATCACTAAAGTAAGTAGACTTTTTAATGATATTCTAACGTCCAGAGTTTCACCTGTATTTTGACGCTCCGAAGTAAACCTAGTTTATAATCATTTGTAAAATTCAAACAAGATGTGAGTCGCTGATAACCAAACTACACTTTAAACCTGCACTTCCTGCTTCAGCACAAAGACACAAGCACCAAGATGTGCCCGAGGCCAGTGCAGGGATTACCATAGCAACCACATAAACCATAACCATAACATGACAATAAAGTTTCAAATCCCAGTTTGGAAATGCAAAAGAGTCCAGTGACCGATAACGCCCCGTACCCACCGCACGCGTCTTTTGAAGCGCTGAGAGTCGCGCAGCGGGGTCACAGCTGTGGGCATTTTTTCCCGGGGGACACAGCTGTAGGCTTTTCCCCGGTGTCACAGCTGAGATTGAGGACGCGAAACTCATCGAAGCTGTTGAGCATTTTCCAGCGCTTTATTCGGCACAAGATCCAAATTACAAAGATAATCGAAAGAAGGACAAAGCCTGGCGTTCAGTGGCAACGATTGTCGGCGCTGATGGTATGTATAACTACTTTAATCATGTCATCGTCTTTGTGTATGTTTAGCTAATCAATAGCGTAGCTATTTCTAATTTGGTACACCACGAGTAAGTACTAAACAACTTAATACATGATATTTGTGTATTTATATCAGTGTTAGATAGTGCTATGAAGTATACATATATACGGAATAGTACGAAAAGTTGTGATCAGCTAATTATGCAGCTGGCTCCATCTAGAGGAGTTTCGCGGGCATAGCACCGCTCACCATAGCCATTTTCCGGTTATATACTCATAGGACTTTTACATATTTAGAGTGCAGTTGAAAATAACTAACGACTCATCAATATAAAAATAACAAGTCAATGTTTAATGTTACATTGACATCAAAACAACACAGGGTCACAAAAAGCAATTACATTAATAAAAACAAACACATTTTAAAATGTACATTTCATTTACAAAGATTCCTATAAACGACAATGGGTTCTGCGAAAAGCTACACTATAGCTATAGGGCTATCATATTTAGAGTGAAGTTGCAAATAAGTTATTACTAACAACTCAATATAAAAATAACTAATCAATGTTTAATGTTGCATTGACATCAAAACAAACAAGGTCACAACAAGCAATTGTATTATAAAAAACAAACACATTTTAAAATTTACATTTCATTTGCAAAGATTTCTATAAACTACAATGGGTTCTGTGAAAAGAAGGTGCACAGCTTGTCCCTTACAGATGAAGCCGCCTCACTGGCTCTTCGCCCTCCCATCCCCTGTTGCACCCTGTGCATATCCAGGCCTCTGTCTCTAGCCTCTGCCAGCCACATCTGATTATCTGCATTGTTGCTCAGGAAGTTGTGTAAAATGCAGCAGGAGATAATCACTGAGTCAACATGTTGTGGTGATAGGACAATTTTTGTGAGAAGCACCCTCCATCTCGCAGCCATTATGCCGAAGGCACACTCCACTACCATCCTCGCCCGAGACAAACGGTAGTTGAAAACCTTCTTTTGAGCGGTCAGGTTGGTGCCACCAAATGGACGCATTACATAGGGCTTTAGGGGGAATGCTGCATCCCCCACGATCACATGTGGGATGCTTCCCAGCTCTTCAGCTCCAGGCAATGGTTTGGGCTGTGGGACATGAAAGGTGTTGTTCTCCAGGCCTCTCTTCAGGTTTGAGGCTGAGAAAACACCTCCATCACTGGCTCGTCCATAGTTTCCCACGTGGATGTATGTGAATTTGTAGTTGGCATCCACTAAGGCCATGAGGACAATAGAAAAATTGTGTTTGTAATTATAATAAAGACTTCCAGAGTTAGGTGGTGCTTTGATGTCAATATGTTTGCCATCTATAGCACCGATGCAGTTTGGGAAATTCCATTTCTCCCAAAAGGCTGCAGCGATGCTTCTCCAGCTGTCCTCAGTGGGCCTTGGAATCTGGCTCCTGAGCATTAGCTTTTCTATGGCTTCCATTGTGTCCTGGACAATCCGAGCCACAGTTGTGACACCAAGTCTGTACTGAAAGGCCAGACTGGTGAAACTTTCACCGGAGGCCAGGAATCTGAAATGAAGAAAAATATATAACATTAAAAGATTATCAATGCATTTACATTTAAGTTTTTTTCTCTCATTACAGTTGAAGAATGCAAGCGGAGGTGGAAGGGGCTGAGGGACTCCTATGTAAAATTTAAGAAGTTCCCTCCAAGTGGCTCCGGAGGAGGAAGTGAGCGTGACTGGAGGCACGAAAAGGAAATGGCTTTTTTGAAGCCTTATCTTAAACCAAGGAGGTAAAGTATAAGAATATATCATTACGTTTTTTATGTAGTTTTAGTTTCTATTGCTGGTAGAAGTTTAAAAAAAAAAATACTTTTGAGTTTTTTATGAAGATACTTACTGATTAATATTTTGGTTTATGACTGTCACAGCTCCAGGGACTCACATGGAGACACGTCTGCAGACGACAATGTCCAGGAGGGTGCAGATGAGGAAGCATCACAGCCACAATCTCCAAACCCACATGACACAGAAGAACGGCTCATAAGAACCCCCCCATCCCCACCTCACTCCAGCACAAGAACCCCCCCATCCCCATCACGCTCCAGCACACCGATTGCAGACACACCTCATTCCTCACAAGTCACCACCCAATCAACTCCACACAACCCACAAGCCCAACGTTCAAAATCAAGGAGAAGATTAATGGAACAGAGACGCCCAACAACCTCCGTGGAACAACAAATTTTGGACATAATAAAGGAGCCGCCATCAGCCCCCCCTCCCCCCCACATACCCACAGAGAACGAGTCCATATTCCACTTCTTCATGAGTGTAGTCCCACGAGTTAGCGCACTATCGCAACCGTCCAGAGCAGCCATACAAATTAGGATCCTTCATTTAATAGGTGAATTGGAAGAAGACCGAAGAGCATATTATCCACAGCACCCACCGCAGCATGCACACCAGCTCCCACCACAGCACCCACACCCGCTCCCACGTCAGCACCCACACCAGCTCCTTCACCAGCACTCACACCAGTATTCAGAACTGCACCCACACCAGCAATCACACCAGCACCCACCACAACACTCACACCAGCACCCACCACAGCACCCACCACAGCACTCAGAACTGCACCCACACCAGCAATCACACCAGCACCCACCACAGCACCCACCACAGCACTCAGAACTGCACCCACACCAGCACCCACACCAGCAATCACAACAGCAACAGGTGTACAGCCCTGCAAGTTTCCTTTCCGACCTGAGTGAGCCACACTTGGGCTCTCTGGGCTGAGATCTGAGTATGGGTCCTTTCTCTTTTAAGGATGTGACAGAGGCCAAACAGAGGCCGAGCTTGAGAGTGAGTGTATGTGCATGAATTGTTTGTAATGTTTCCAAATGTTTGCTGTATTGTTTTTGGACTGCCATGTTTGTATATGTATTTGTTGTTCTTATTGCTATTGTTATTATTAATTGAGATGGGTGAATTATTATATACCGAGTTGAAATGATCTTTATTGTTTTGTGAGGATTGTATGTATGATGCTGCATGTTTAATGTCTTATTGTTTATTGAATAAATACATTCAATGTAGCATACCTTAATGTTACTGCCAGTCTTTGGGAAGGACACACACTCCTTCTGTAGTTGGTCTCCTGGCGGCGGATTGTGGGACCAATAATGGAGAGCAGTTGATCCATTTGTTCCACAGACATTCGGAAATATTGGAGATGTTTTTTGGGATAAGTCCTGAGTTCAGCCACTAGGTGGTAGTAGGCTCCAAACTGCGCTCTTCTCTGGTTCATGGGGTGAATCCACGTTCTCGTCTTCCTCTGCCTTCCTCTGAGTCTCAACAGCAGAAGTACTGCAATGGCCTTTCTTTTAGCACGTTGATCTATAAAGGAAACATATGAAGTTTCAGAGAAATGTTGAATTTATCAATAACATAGTTTAGATACATTTTAGCAAAACAAATATGTTAACAAGGCAAATAATGATGCTATTTAAATCACGTTGCTGTTGAATTGGCAGTTAAAAAACGTTTACTGACAAAATGAATGTATCTAAAGTTATACACGTATGTAACTTACCCATATTGCAATTGATGAGGAAAATACGATTAAACAAACAGGTAGGTGGAGCTTCAAGGTTGTTTACTCGTCTCTCGCCTGTCCCCAGAGAGCGTCTCCTCTCTGCTGCGCGTCGCTCCCGGTTGGTATACAAACGCTTCTCAGCAAGTGCGCTCGTCCGAGGAGAGCTGCGCGTCACTCACTGCGCGTGCGGTGGGTACGGGGCGTGAGTCATCGATAAAGGGCCCTAATCTGTCAAAAGGCATCAATATAACATTCTTTGTCTTTGTCTGATTACAGCAGTTCAGAGATATTCAAATTTCAAAATTAGTTTTACATTCCCTAAATCTTGTTATTAATTTCATTTCGGAAAGTTTGTGATCTGGGTTGCCAGAACACACCACGTTGAGCTAATCTCACTAGTGAAATACCATGTGGCTGCAGGACTAAAAAATATCTCTGCTCCTCAGAATTCCAGCAGGAGGTCAGTCCCTGTGCTCCCCAGAGTCCTCCCAGCAGGAGGCCAGTCCCTGTGCTCCACAAGAGTCCAAATGGCTCCTGTGTGTTTTCTATTGTAACGGGCCAAGTGGTAGTGTGGAAGGAAGAGAGGAGGGAGTGTCTTCAGGTGGTTTAATATGAAGATTGTACAGAACAGGACCCCAGACAGGGTCAGGGGGTGTGGCCTAACACACGTCATTTAGTCCCTTACATTATTGCATTTCCTGTGTTCCAAGTGTTTTGATTGCTTTTGTTTAAATTATGCTTTTGCGTTAAGCGTGTTATAGAAGTAAAGATTTAAACTATTTTCTTGTATAAACTGAAGATGTTAAATAGTTGAAAAGTTGTGCTCATTAAAGGAAAACAAAATTAAACTGTGTAGTTTTTTTGTTCAATGAAACTAATTAGAACAGAGAAACAGTCATATGGTGTAATAATACAAAATTAACATTATAATGCTGTTTTTGTTGTATGTGAATTAACAGGAACATACGGTTAAATCCTGAAATTACAAAGGCATAATGTGATTTAGCGAAACAGTCTTTAACCGTTAAAATCAGCAACGGTAATGCCATGTTGAGAAAACGGTAAATCCCTGAAACCATACTTGCCTGCTTTTTACCGTTTTTCTACAAGGAAATTCTTTACATTGTACATTTCAATGAATATAGACAACACAAAAAGCGTCAATCCATGTTGGCATGGATGGAGCTAAAAACAGCTCGATGTTGAGGAACAAGCAACCGTGAAGAAAATACTTTGTTTCCGGGGACAGATTGAGGGCGAGGCAACAGTCAAAATTTCCTCAATGTTTTGAATTCTTGTGCAGAAAAATGTATTCATTGAGGTCCAATTTATAACGACACGCACACTCACAGACACACCCACACACACACACACATACGGGCACACACCTACATATACACAGCCACACACACACGCACACACACATACACAGACACACACGCATACAAACATACAGGCACATACCTACATAGACACACAAACACACGCATAGACACACGAACACACACACAGGCCTAAAGACCAGAGGTATAGCGCCCCCCTGGTCACACAGCGCACTGCAGCTGTGCTTCCTTTAAGTCACGTGACCAGGTTAAAGCAGGTCAGCGCACACCTAGAGTCATGGTTTGATTGTAATTAAAAATATATTTATAGGTTTATAGATGTTACATAAAGACATCTGTACTTTGGATTCAACGCCCCTGTGTGTGTGTGTGTGTGTGTGTGTGTGTGTGTGTGTGTGTGTGTGTGTGTGTGTGTGTGTGTGTGTGTGTGTGTGTGTGTGTGTGTGTGTGTGTGTGTTTGTATGTACGCTACAACACTATTTGGTTTCCAAATGTTTGCCAAATTTCAGGAAGTCACGTGAGTAACTGCAAATGAAAGAGAGAGACCAGAAAGAGACCAGAACAACATCAGAGAGAGACCAGAGACTAGAAACACCAAACACACACCCCTCCTCCTCCAGTTCAGAGGATCAGGATTATTTCCCTCAAAACAAAACTCTGGAATTGATCACTGACTCAGGATTTCTCTGAGTCAAACTGTGATCGGCTAAAAATAAAAATCTTGAAAGTCAGGACTATTATTACAAGTTCCTCCAGTGTAAGATCCCTGTGAGTCACTATTTGACTCTTTGGGCCAGAGAGTGAGGGTCTCTCTCTGGTCTCTCTTTTGTCTCTCTCTCTGGTCTCGCTCTGTGCCAGTGTATTTTGTGCCTTTAGTTTCCATAGCAACAATAATAACACAAGCTGATTTACAAACAGGTGATTCTTTGTTGTGAGAGTGAACTGTGACTCTCCGCGGTCTGAGTCTTTCTTTTATCTCCATAAACCATAAACTGATAAGGCACATTGTGATGTCGCACGGCAGATTCAGACCTATTTTTGAACCAGAATCACCAGGAAGTTCAGGGACTATGTATGATCTTTGTTGTGAAAGTAGCAGGACTGGTCTGAGCGATGTCTGCAGCATCTCAATCAGGACAATAACATTTATTGGAGTTTTTATTTTGATTTTTTTCATTTGTCATGCACTTTGATCAGTGTTTTTAGATTTCTCTTGTCAAGAACTTACACGAATTGTACACGAATTGAGCTATACAAATAAATTCTTCATTGATATTCACATTATTGAAATTCGAGACTATTTTTTCCAAAGATGGAGGAAAAGTATTTTAGGACAGAGGAAAACCAGAAAGCTGAAACTGGTCCCTCTCTGGTCTCTCTCTGGACAAACAAAACAGACAAAAACATTTTTATATTTTATTTGTCATAAAAATTAAAACCAGAAAGTTCTTCAAACGTATTAACAGTATATACTACATTTCCATACCAGAGATGGCATAGAGACCAGAGAGAGAGCATAGAGCGAGACCAGAGAGAGACCAGACAGAGACCAGAGAGAGACCAGAGAGAGAGACCAGAGAGACCAGAGGGAGAGAGTAGAGAGACCAGAGAGAGACCAGAAACAGTGAGACATCTGTGTGAAACAAAGACAACAAACAATAGTTTTCCTGAGTTCAAACAAAAGCTTTTCATGAACAACTTTTAGCACCAAACTCTCCTGAAGTCAGCCTGGATGGAGCCAAACACGACTCCATGTCTCTGACAGAGGGATGAAGCTGTAACCTGAAGATCTTAAACGACATTACGAGAAAAAGTCAAAGTTTCGGCCTACAGTACATTAGAATTTAGACCTGCTTTAGTCCTGTTGTAGACCTGCTTTAGTCCTGCTTTAGTCCTGCTTTAGTCCTGCTTTAGACCTGCTTTAGTCCTGCTTTAGATCTGCTTTAGTCCTGCTTTAGTCCTGCTTTAGTCCTGTTTTAGACCTGCTTTAGTCCTGCTTTAGACCTGCTTTAGTCCTGCTTTAGTCCTGCTTTAGACCTGCTTTAGTCCTGCTTTAGTCCTGCTTTTGTCCTGTTGTAGACCTGCTTTAATTCTGTTTTAGTCCTGCTTTAGTCCTGCTTTAGTCCTGCTTTAGACCTGCTTTAGTCCTGCTTTAGTCCTGTTGTAGACCTGCTTTAGTCCTGTTTTAATTCTGCTTTAGACCTGCTTGGGTCCTGCTTTAGACCTGCTTTAGCCCTGCTTTAGTCCTGTTGTAAAACCTGCTTTCAGTCCTGCTTTAGTCCTGTTTTAGACCTGCTTTAGTCCTGTTTTAGTCCTGCTTTAGACCTGCTTTAGTCCTGCTTTAGACCTGCTTTAGTCCTGCTTTGGCCCTGATTTAGTCCTGTTGTAGACCTGCTTTAGTCCCGCTTTAGTCTTGCTATAGTCCTGCTTTAATTTTGCTTTAGGCCTGCTATAGTCCAGCTTTAGTCCTGCTTTAGACCTGTTGTAGACCTGCTTTAGTTCCGCTTTAGTCCTGCTTTATTCCTGTTGTAGACCTGCTTTAGACCTTTTGTAGACCTGCTTTAGTCTACAACAGGACTAACCCACGTCTGGGTTTGGGTATGGAGGGTCCAACGAGGTTCTGGTCCTGGTCTGGTTTTGGTTTGGGTCCTATGTGGTCAACAGATCAGCAGGGGGTGTGGCAGACGGCTGCAGAGAGGCGAACAGGAGGTCAAGCTCCTGACCTGAGGACACAACACTCAGTTACAGAAGTCTCACTCTCTCACTGGACCTTCTGACTCTGGTCTCTCTCGCTCCTTCTCTCTCTCTCTCTAGTCTCTCTCTGGTCTCTCTCTGGTCTCTCGCTCTGATCTCTCCCTGGTCTCTCTCTGGTCTCTCTCTCTGATCTCTCTCTGGTCTCTCTCTGGTCTCTCTCTGGTCTCTCTCTGGTCTCTCTCTCTGGTCTCTCCCTCTGGTCTCTCTCTCTGGCCTCTCTCTCTGGTCTCTCCCTCTGGTCTCTCCCTCTGGTCTCTCTCTCTCTGGCGTCTCTCTCTGGTCGCAATTTCTGGTCTCTCTCGCTGGCCTCTCTCTCTGGTCTCTCTCTGGTCTCTCCATCTGGTATCTCTCTCTGCTCTCTCTCTCTGGTCTCTCTCTCTCTGATCTCCATCTGGTCTCTCCCTCTGGTCTCTCTCTCTATGGCCTCCCTCTCTGGTCTCTCTCTGGTCTCTCCATCTGGTCTCTCTCTCTGGTCTCTCTCTGGTCTCTCTCTGATCTCATCTGGTCTCTCTCTCTGGTTTCTTTCTCTCTGGTCTCTCTCTCTGGCCTCTCTCTCTGGTCTCTCTCTGGTCTCTCCATCTGGTATCTCTCTCTGCTCTCTCTCTCTGGTCTCTCTTTCTCTGATCTCCATCTGGTCTCTCTCTCTGGCCTCTCTCTCTGGTCTCTCTTGCTGGCATCTCTCTCTGGTCTCTCCCTCTGGTCTCTCTCTCTATGGCCTCCCTCTCTGGTCTCTCTCTCTGGCCTCTTTCTCTAGTCTCTCTCTGGTCTCTCCATCTGGTCTCTCTCTGGTCTCTCTCTGATCTCATCTGGTCTCTCTCTCTGGTTTCTTTCTCTCTGGTCTCTCTCTCTGGCCTCTCTCTCTGGTCTCTCTTGTTAGCATCTCGCTCTGGTCTCTCTCTATGGT